TGCTAATGTAATGTTTTGTAATTGTAGTCAGAAAACAAAGGAATGCTTTTTAATAAAAATGCTATTTGTCAGTTTGTTTTATGTGTATGGATATTTAGCCTGCATGCATATCCACGTGTCACATGTCTACCTGGTGCCTCTAGAGGTGTGAGGTTGTTGTTCTGTCTCCTAGAATTGGAGTCACAAAGGATTGTGTGCGACCACATGGGTAATGGGAATCAAACTCAGATCCTCTGGAAGAACAGATGGTGTTCTTAACTGCTAAGCCGTTTCTCCAGCCCCATCAATTGTTTTATTAATCTTAGTTATTCTGACTTAAGTAAGGTAAAATATCAAAGTAGTTTCAATTTACACTTTCCTAATTGCTAAGCATTTTTAATGCTTTAAAAATATTTTTATAGTTAAAAATATATTAACTGTTGTGTAACTATTTTAAGCTTCATTTTTCCCTCAATATATGTTTTTTAAATATCTAAACAATAGTGCTTTATTGAAAAAGGGTTAGTTTAAGTGGCTACAAAGTTGATGTGTAAAATGTGTTTTCAAAATACATTTCTACAGGTACAAGTTACTTCTGAGTGAGAGAGCATTTATTAGCAAAAGTGTATGTTTAGACCTGGGTGGAAAAACTGAAGGGGGATTTAGAATTGTGGCTGCAAGATCTTCCAGCACACATTGTCATCCTTAGATGCCAGCTGGCCCTAAATGGCAACCTTAACTCACAAACACAGGGCTCCCACTGAATGCTTGGGAATGCTTTTGTTTCTTAAATTTTTTTCCAATCAAATTAATGTCAAAATAACCCAAACAAAGAATTGCATGGGTGTACTCTAGAGTCAGCAACACTTTTCTTGGTGGGAACCTCACACAATGAACCGCTGGCCATTCACAGTGATGCAATAGTGAAGGGGCAAAATGAGCACATTATTTTCTGTAACTTGTAACTGACGACTTTTAAGTCTCGTTTAACTAGTACTATTGATTTTTGGCCTGAATTAAACAAACCTCTGCCTCACAATAGAGCTGAACCCTCTGATGGGGCATGGGGAGCCAGCTCTGAGACAATGAGCTTGGGAGATCTGGCCCTCCTCCCATCTGCCATATGGTGGTGTGGGGGGGTCTGGGCAGGGAGGGAGGGAGATAGGGAGATGCCCTTCCCACCCCAGGCCCCACCCATCACCACCTATAGCCAATAGGAGAGCTGGCCCTGAGGTCATGAGAGCATGTGAAGTGGCCTGACACCTCACAGGCTGCAACACCACACAGGTGCAGGCACTGCACCTGCCTTTTCCAAAGTGAGCTTGTCGTTCATGTGTAGACAGTTCTTGTAGTTTCTATATATTCCATTGATGTATTTGATGTCTTTTAAACTAGTGTCACACTATTTTGATTATCATGGGTATGTATATGAAATTACTCCTCTTAACTTGTTCAATTTTCAGGGATTTTTTGATAATTATTTTTTTAAAGATTTATTTTATGTGCATCAGTGTTTTTCCTGCATGTATATCTGTGGTGGGTGTCACATAACCTGGAATTGGAGTTACAGACAGTTGTGAGCTTCCATGTGGGTTCTGGGAATTAAACCCAGGTCCTCTGGAAGAGTAGCCAGTGCTCTTAACTGCTAAACTCCTATTTGACAATTCCTGAACATATTCAGTTATGTATGAATTAGAAAAAAATCTATGAGGCTAATTTCCTCGCCCTGGCTGACTGATGTCAGTTAAGTGGTCTATCACTGACCTCAAATAGTAAATTTCCCTGAGAAATTTGTAACACACACACACACACACACACACACACACACACACACACACCTCTAAGTATCCTGCTAGGAGTGATTCTGGGAAGAACTGACCTCTTAATAAATCTGTGAACTCTTGAACTAAACTCTCCATGTCTTCAGACTGTTTCATTTTCTCAAGAATGCTCTGTAAAAACAAAAAGGAATGTTTTGTAGCTATCAGATATTTTAAGAAATTTTAAATTTTCATTTGAAGTTCATTTTTATGTCTAATTGACACATATCAATTGTAGTGTGCTGTGTCATTTGAATTTATGCTGTTTCTCTCTCCTCTTTAGAGCTGTAAATTCAGTCTGAACTTTCTACACAGTGACTAAGTCACATTTCCCTTTCAGCCGGGCGTCGATGGTGCACGCCTGTAATCCCAGCACTGGGGAGGCAGAGGCAGGTGGATCTCTGTGACTTCCAGGCCAGCCTGGTCTACAGAGTGAGTTACAGGATGGCCTCCAAAGCAATACAGAGAAACTCTGTCTGGGAAAACCAAAAAACAAACACATTTCCCTTTCTGTATCCACATGTAAGCATTTATCTTTACACCACTGATGCACATTCATCGATAGTTTCAAATTTCACTCTTCTCTTGGTAGCATATTATGATCTTGTGGTCATGTGCTCACTCTGTGGACATGTAAGTGTACACACACACACACACACACACACACACACACCTCATCAGTTTTCTCAAATAGTGCTTAAAATTCCTATAAGACGTAGTAGGGTAGACTTCACATGCTATACAATACAACCAGCGTGAAACTGCAGGTACTTCTCATAAACTCACCTCATGAATTTAAAGTGGTTTTTTATTTAAAAGATTTATTTTTAAATTTAAATTCAAATTAGAAACAAGGTTTCTTCACATGTCAATCTCACGTCCCTCTCCCTTTCCTTCCCCTCCTCCCATCTCCTCCCACCACCCACCCAATACTTCCCCTTTCCCCAGGGAGGGTGAATTCTTCCATGGGGGTATCCATAGTCTGTCATTTCATCCAGGACAGTGCCTAGAGCCTCCCCAAGAGTTCAGGGTGAGAGTGCATCTCTCAGTGTGGGATGGGCACCCAATGTCCATTTGTATGCCAGGAATAAATACTGGTCTACTACCAAAGGCTCCATAGATTGCCTAGGCCTCCTCACTGACACCACATTCAGGGGTCTTCATCAGCCCCATGCTGGATTCCCAGGTCATCAGCCTGGTATTCAAAAGTTAACCCTTGTCAGGTCAGCTGTTTCTGGGGGTTAAACCAGCCCAGTCTTAATCCCTTTGGTCATCAGTCCTCCCTCTCTGTCACTGGCTTTCTTGAGTTCAGCTCAGTGCTTAGCTGTGGGAGTCTGCCTCTGCCTCCATCAGCCACTGAATGAAGGTTCTGTTTCCCTGACTCTCTGGCCATGGGATTGTAAAAACAAATGCAACACACTTTAAAAATATCTTGTATGGAGTTAAGGTAAATTTCTTTTTTCATTTTTTTTCTAAAAGTGTCTTACTGTGTAGCTTTGCTGTCATGAACTCTCTGTGTAGACCAAGTTGGCCCAAAACTCACAATGCAAGGATGGAGAGTGAAGCAGCGGCCCCTGAACAGCCAGCTGCCTCTGACCCGCTGCAGACACAAGTCCCTGATAAAGGCACCTGGTGCCTTCCCTGCAGGGTGGGGACTCCTTCTTTGTCCCAGCCTTCCTGAAAAAGGTTACTGTGGGATGCACATAGATCCCAGACATAGGTTACCAATTGATCCCTTTCTTTCTGTCTCTCTGTGTCTCTGTGCTCTGTGTCTGTCTCTGTCTCTGTCTCTGTCTCTCTCTCTCTCTCTATCTATCTATCTCTATCTCTATCTCTATCTCTATGTCTCTCTCTATTCAGGGCTTCTCTGTGTAACAGACCTAGCCTAGCTGTTCTGGAACTTGCTCTGTAAACCAATCTGCCTCGAACTCACAGAGATCCACCTGCTTCTGCCTTCCAGTGCTGGGATTAAAGGCCTTTTACCACCACCACCACCTGTTGGTCGATTGTTTCATAGCTATCTCTTCTCCTATTGAAATAGTTAAATGTAGCTTTTCCGTGGTATTCTCTTCTGCTGTGTATTTTAAATTCCACATGGGGGCAGTAGTGAGGCTCTGCAGGCATTGAAGAGCTGGGCAGTGGTGAAGAGCTATTGAAAGCTACAGGCCTCCTGTCTGGATCCCTGCAGTGTATCTCCCTGTACTGCTTCTCTTGCAGACTAATTTTCAGAATAAAGAAGGTGACATCAGTGATCCCTAGGTACACAGAACTGAAGGAGACTGTAGTGGAAACCATGAAAACATTGTACAGAGGTGTGGGGACACCAGACCTTGTTCAGAAACCCACCCCTCCATCAGCCTGGGAGCAGGCAGCTGCTAGACAATGCTTACTGAAAACAATTCAGTGCCATAAGCTCCTGATAAGGGCTCCAATAAGGGCTCGCTCACTGAAACATCATGACTTTGATCTTCCCGATGGCTAGCTACTCCCTGCTGTTTTCCGATTCTGGGGCCAGAGATTTAAGCGCCAGCCAGGAGGGTGAGAGGTCTGTGAGAGGTCTGTTGGGAGATTTGTGCGTGTATGGATGGCAGAAGTCTTTCTGAAGGGAAGCATTTTTCTTGGGAAGTTCTCCTAAGCCGATTTGGGGAGCATAAAGTTTTCTTAACGCAACCGACGGACCAGTCTCTGTGTCATCTATCCCGACAACCTCGCCACATTCTCGGATACAGGCTGCGCAGGAGGCGTGGCACAGAGGAGTAAAGGAAGAGTTAACACAACTACATTGTATTTTGACAAAGCACACAAGGGTTAGGTACGTAGTAACTATAAAATTGCCCTACTCTATAGTTCCATGTGAAGTCCCAACACACACACATAGGAGGATGCTGTGCTCACATTCCACACAGGCATGCAAAAGTATAACAGAAGCAAGGCCTAGGGTTTATGGTGGCCAAGGGCAATTATTAGGGTTGAGTTCAGGATTAGGGTAAACAGGTACAGTTCAACAGTAGGGACTAAGACTGCAAAGCTGAATTGCTCCTGTACCCAGACATCCCTGGGAGTACTGAATGGGAAGCACCAGTGTAACTGAGTCTAGTACTGCACCTGGGGAGTGGGGAGAGAGCAGGGGTCTTTTGGGAAAGCTCTGTGTGAGGAGAAGACTCAGGTAAGTAGTTCCCAGGATGTGACCTCACTTCCTTGACCCAACAGTTCAGAACCCTGGAACCCACACAGCCAACTGTGAAGAACAGGCCAGCAGGGTCTCCTTCTAGAGACTCTAGAGAGATCAGAATGTTTTCTTGCTGTTTTAAGGCTACTCCAGGATCAGAGCCCAAGAAAGACAAGAGTGAAGGCTGTGGTGTCTGGAAACACCAAGTTCACTCTTGCCTCCAATGCTTCTGGCCATTTGGCAGGAAGGAAACAAATCTGACCCAGGGCAGCCAGGCCCAGGACTGCAAAGACTAGGTAACCACTCTAAAATCTCAGAATTTCACCAAAATTTGCTCTGGGTGTTTGGCAGTGTAATGGTTCGGGAAAAGTTGGAATGATAATAACGAATCAGAAAGTTGCAGTCCTACCTGTGCCTGTTTAAACCATCCACTGTGATCTCTCCTCAGGTTGAGGAGTCTGGCCCAAAGGTCCAGGAAGAGCCCTGTAGAGAGTCCTGCATCAGCGCAGTCATGGTGGCAAGACTGGTGAACTGCCTTCCCTGCAGGGTGAGGACCCCTTCTTGTCCCAGCCTTCCTGTGTATCTACCAAAGGTTTGCCACCACCCAGCAGGTGCTGGACCTGCTGTTGGAGTGGTGAGTGCCCACCTCTAAGCCCAGAGACCTCCAATCCTCCTGTTGGTTCTACAAAGCTCCCTGCCTCTCTCTAAGCCTGTTTTCTAGAGTATTGTCAGGACCTAGGGCACAGGGTCAGAAAAGCCTTCCTGCACGTTTGACTCTTAGTACTGGGGTATCTAGAGCTGACACCACAATGAATCTGGGTGTCTCCTGCACACTGAAGAAGCTCTCTTTCCGACCCAATTTTTCTGATGCCTTGGTCAAAGCACTTTTCCCATTTGTAAAGGGGGTTCTAGAACTCATATTGGAGTACTGAATTGAGTACTCATAATGTGCTCCCAGTGGAGAAGCGTGGAGGATAATTTGAGGGACCCTCTGCACCCAAGATATCTCTTTAGAGATGTTTGTGTTCATCCATTGCACAAACATATTTGAAGCACCTACTGTATCCAGGTGAATTAATAATCCTGAGGAGTAGATAGAGCTGTACTTTCTTCCCTTCCCAGGAATGAGCCTGGCCCCTAGATGTCTTTTAGTTAGGGGACTTAGGACTTTACAGGTGATGTGCTTCCTGGTCTCCTCTAGGTATGCACACTTGCACCTTTTTTGTGAAGAGGATGAACAAATAAGTAAGTGGGCTTTACAACAAGAGCAAGTTGCTTGCCTCTGCAGAGTGGGGTCATTTGGGTGTCAAGAGTAAGGGATGGCCAATGTTTGGGTGTCTCACTCCTACTCCCGTACTGATGTCTAAGCATTCCCTGCAGGGTGAGAAGAATTGCACGGGCAGGTTCCTTCCAAGTGGGGAGATGTGGAAAACCTTTGGACTAAGGCACCCATATGAGACTTACCCTCATCTCAGCCCATGCCATGCATGCTTGGTCAGTTGTCCTCCGTAAGAGCCTGAGAAACGCTGTGTGGACTTCCCTGCACACAAGGACCTTAGAGTCGCACTCACTGTACTCATGTGCATAAGGGCTGAACATCTTCTATCTTGTAGTCCCCACTGTAGGTAGCCATGAGAGAGTTGGGGAAATTCTACACAATTAACATTGTTGTCCTTCCCCTTCGCTAGAACCATCTGTACTTTTCTGGATACATGGATGGACAAGAAACCTGAGGAATTTTGCCAGTCTTCAGCCCTGACAATTGTGAAACAGCTGAAGAATTTCTTGGTTGTGAACATGCCCTACTCAGATCTTACCGTTCATGTCCATATGCTCCTGACCCATTTGGAGGAAGAAGAGGGCACTGAATCAGAGGCCAGGAATGAAGAAGCCTCGGGTAGGTGCTTGACACCCTGTGAGGTATGTTCAGTACCTGGTGTTCTGGGGGAGGATTGAAAGGCTCCTCTTTGCAGGAACTGTCACTGGACCATAGCCTGAGCATACATCCTTTTGGAGGACAGGGTCTGGGATTCCAGGCAGACAGGGGCTCCTCTTTGTTTGGAAAGGCTGAGAAGGAGGTCTCATCCCGGGCATGTTGTCTCCTCCTGTATCTCCACCGCCATTTCCCCTTGTAGAGATGCCCACATCAGCAACATATCTGCCTGCATCCATCAATCCAAAGAGACATGCATTCACAGATCCAGATCTTGAAGTGTGTTAACCAGCAGCGATGCCAGCTACTCTGGTGCCAGAACCAACTTGTGCACCAGAGCCAGAGAGTACAAACACCACCAGAAGATTCCGTGACATCTCTGCTGTTGGAACCAGATGTGACAGCAGCTTTCCAGCCAGCACACCTGTGAGCTGCTGTGGATCCTGTGTGTCTCACCGTGTCAGCCGACACAGTGCAACTTTCACTTATCCCACCTTCCATCGATGGGTCTACCTCCCTGGGGAATGGCCTGCCACCCTTTCTCCTCGTTTCCCATCTATATCCATTCTGCAGACAGCACCAGTTCTGTATTCCTCCACAGAGTCACATCCTGATTTCAACCATGCTCCGTTCCCACCATCACAACCAGCTTCCCCTCCCCGAGAAATAGCCTCTTTACTCTTCTGGCTCTTTTCGACATTGTGTGAAAGTATTGGTTTTAGTAAATTATTAGTGACTGATTTTCATTGTCTTAATTATGGTTATGATGTCCACTCAGCATGCTTGTACATGCTTGTACAGGGGTTAGCAATGTCCCCAAGCAGATACATGGAGGCCATACTGGAGAGAAGGCAGGCAGAATCCCCTGATTTCACAGAGACCAGGAGAATGCCTGAGAGTGGTGATAGAATTACAGAGAATTAGGCTAGCTGTCATTTGCTGTGTTCCTAGCAGCTAGGGTCATGTGCTTAGAGGTCAGGCTGCCCAGGTGTCCTTCAAACAGGTTTCTGCTTTAGTTTCATTCTCCTTACACTAGGTAGCAGTACCATTTTAGGGTCTGATGAGGACTAATTGTGATGTCATGAGATGCCTGACTCTCACGAGTGCAAGCTGGACACATACCCGCCATTGCCAATATTTCGTATACTATTTGAAGAGCGAGTCTCTGGAGTTCTCAGGAGTGTTTCATGCTACTGATGATGCTTAAACCATGCTGATTTTCTTGTAGTATTGCCTCAATGTTGGGGACAGTCTGTGAGTTACAATGTCAAGTTTTTAGTTATATTTCCTCCAGTGTTTATGGATATGGCCCACAAACAAGCCAACTGAACTTACCATGCTTCTCTGGCTCTCTCAGGACAATTCCATTGGTGACTACCATCTATTGATGTCCCATATATGTCACCTTGGGCATCTGAGGGACTTGTCTTCCCAGTAAGGCCAGTCAGGTGTCCAGAACTTCTAGGGGGTCACATATCTGCTCACTATAGCTTCCTAGGAATGAAGGGATCCCACCATCAATCATCATGGCATTTTTCATAGGGGTAAAATCCTGCAAGTCTCAATTAGCTAACCTAAGTGTCCAGACCTCAGAGAGTCCATGTTGTAGCTGGGGGCGGGTTGAACTTCAGTAAGGTCTGTGTAGGGCAAGATAAGATGGAGGAATGTAGTTGTTCAGGAAGTCAGCTGAGAGTGGTTTGATATCAATCTTTCTGGTGAAACAGGAAATCAAGGGTGTGCAAGTCCTCCACAGCAGGAGCAGTGGACTGGCTGCAACACGATTGTACAGGAAATTTAAGATGGTGAAGAGGTGTGTGTCCATACACAAACAGAAAGGGAAACTGCTCTTACAGGTCATAGGTTATGTGGAAAAGACTGGGCCTCCATGAGATCTCAGTAGAGCTAATAATGAACTGCCAAGTCATAAATGAATAATGGATAAAAACTGGATATTTGATCTTCAGCAGTGAAAGAGCTAAAAATGAAAACATCACAAATTGATATCAATGAAATAATACAAAAGATTATATTTTAAATGTACACAGTGAGAACCAGACATTTCCAGTGTAAACTTTGTGCTACCGAAAGTATAATAGAGAGACTGTATTACTCTGCTCAAGGGCTGAGAAGCTCAGTTATCTCTCCAATTGTCATTATTGTGGCAGTTGGCATCATCGTTGCTGTGGTCAAGCACTTGCCAGCAGCACAGTGGGGAAAACCGAGTTGTCCCTCAGCTTCAGAGGCCAACTCCATCATGACAAGGAGGGCAAGGCGCAATTGAGCAGTTCATTCCACATCGAGTAAAGGAGAAGAGAATCAGGTGCTTGGCTGGCTTTCTTCTGTGATTCTGCCCAGAACTCAGACCAATGGGATAGTGTAGTGCCCATCCAGTGTGGGTGTTACCTCAACAGTGAATCCTCAGAAGAGTCACCACAGGACACACACTCAGTTGTACCTCACCAATCTAGTGTTTCCCAAATTCACGTCTATCTACAGTGAATACTCACCATCTCACTTACTTGCATCAGTCTACCATTCAATGTAGACTTACTGTAGTCAAACCTGACCGCTGTGGTTTCTTCTTCCCAAACACTCAGGATCAAAGCAGGCCACAGACCTGCTTCTTCCTGCAGAACAGAGCAAAGATCCCATTTAACAGCTGGAAAGGGAAGGAACCTTGGAGACTTAGCTCTGAAAAACCCTAGGTAGCACCCTTGCTGCTCTTCAGCAGCTGCCAGGCACAAGGCTGCCTGCTAACTTTGAGAAAGAGGCCAGTGTTGCAGTGCTTGCCTAGCATGTGTGAGACAGACCCTGCCATCGATGCCCAGCAATACAGGAAGAAAACTAGTTTTCAGACATGTGTCTGTCACGCTGTCACTTCCTACTTTTAGGAATTATCTGTGGTAGATTCTCAAGCTACAAACCCTGATGTCCCTGGACTCTGTGAAATTTAAGGTTTTATATTTTCATTTAATAACTTGACATGGTAAAAGCACGTTATGAGTCAAGTGGTTGTATTTATAATGGACTTAGCCCACTACACAGGGATATATTGTGCCAGGAAGATAGTCAGAAAAGAACCAGAGTAGAATTGATATGTAAATGATATCACACTAAGCAGAGGTCATTGTATTTGATTCTTTTCTGTTGCTGCGATAAAACATCAGGACCAAGGTAACTTATAGAAAGAAGAGTCTACCTGGGTTTGGTTTCCAGTGGGAGACTAGTGCATCCTGGTGTGGCTGAGGCGTGGCAGCAGGAACAGGAATTTGAGAACTCTCATCTTGAACTGCAAGTAGGAAGCAGAGAGAGCAAACTTCAAGTGGTGGAGGGTTTGTAACCTCAAAGCCCACCCCAGGGACATCTTCCTCCAGCAAGGCTGTGCAACTTAAACCTCCTCGAATAGCATCACCACCTGAGCCTTGGTATTCAAAACCTGAGACTCTGGGGACAGTAATATTCAATCAACCACAGTTTGATAATGGTATAGGGTGCATCAATGTACAGATTATACTCATCACAACCAAAAAGTGGTAGGAATTGTCATCTCAATCTGGTGGGATCCTGGCTGTAACTGAGTCAGCTCAAGCTAACATGATTATGGTTAACAATGCTATGTGTAGTATCAGCATCATAATCACCAACATTATCACCCATCATGATAATACATTTAACTGATATTTGACTTAATTCAGTTCATACATTGGTCCTTAATGTATGTTCCTGGTTCTTTAAGAATAAGAGTTAGTCTCTGGTTGAAATGGGTGCAGGATTGTGGAGTGTGGAATCAGGGAACAGGATCTCAGACTGTCCCCTTTGTACCTTCCTCTCCCCATCAGCTTAGCTAATACCAAGATGGAGCAGGGGAGAACCAGAATATGAAGCTGAAACTAAATCCTGGCAGACCAGCTCACATCCAGCTTCTGTGATCTTTTCCTGTCCATGCCATGTCCACATGCTTAGCTATAAACATCACACACACAGTTCAGAGTTCCTCTTGCTGTTAATCTTGTCATAGCCATCTTGCTCAAGTTCCATATAGTTGTCCAAATGGTGATACCATTTTGTTGTTTCAATTTATACTTTTAACTGTTGAAGATGTTTTTCATGTCTCTTTACAAAGTGTGCATCTGTTACATAGATGAGCTATTCACCTTTGGTCTATTTAACTAATAAGTTTAAATTTTGGCAATAAATGTGTTTCCCCACTATGTTACCATACATCATATCTTACACACTTATTGATAAGAAAATGTTCTTATTTCAGGCACAGTGCTTTTGCCAGTGTCCAGGGAGGCTGAGCTCAGTCTTTCCAAAGCTTCAGACAACAGCTTTGTTACTGCAGCTCTAGTCAGCAAGGCTCCCCCAGCTTCTGCACCTGCGGGGTGGAAGGGCACCAGCTACAGTAAGCTGAGGGGCACCAGGAGAGATTTTTCTGGGACTGCAGTGTCCTGAGGTTCCCTCTAGGTAAAGCCCAGTGTTGTCCAAAATCTGCTTCCTTCTGTGATGTGAGTCTGCTTTGAACAAAGTACATGATCTGTTTTGACCTGCCACAGGGACCTGGCGCTGTAAGCGGTTCCAGGCGTTCCCGTGGGCTCATGTGATTGGTGGGAAGTTTCACGTGTATGACAAGCACTGTCTGATAACGGTCCTGACCACGTGAGCGGAGGTATATCGGCAAACCCTTGGGTCTATTGGTGTTGTGGCTTTCAGACCCCGCACAGGGGAGCAATCCTGCTGGACATGTTTGCGTGGTGTCTGTTACTTGCACTTGGGGCTTACTCTAAGGCTTAGGTTGGGTAGGGTAAGGGGAGGGGCTGTGTGGTCCCAGTGTTCCCGTTTGAGGTAGATCTGAGGCTGAGGAGTCACAGTAGGTCATCTGTGGGCTCCTTGACTTCCCACAATGACCTTGCTGGGAACCAGGGCAACAGCATCCTTACTGTTCAGACTGGTCCAGACTCTCAAAGCATACAGTCTTGAGAAAGCTCTAAGGCTGCCAGCATGCCATATGTCACCAGAGTGCAGGGCCAACTTACAGGCCAGAGAATTCCTATGAATGACAGGAAGGACAACAGGTCAGGAGACCTGAGAATGAGGGGTGTTATGTGCTATGAGGGAGAATGGCTGCCTTCCATGGTGGCCCTAGGTCAAGAAACCCAGAAATTGCTGATTCTACCTTTATGTGCATCGGGGACCTCCCACAGATGGGAGGAGAACCCATCCAAATACTGTGGTGAGCAACACATCACCAGAGCTTCAACTGTTCCTGCTTTCTTTTAATTCCCCTTTGAGAACATGTTTGTCACTATGTAAAAGCGATTACAGGGGATCAAGAGAGTTCTCCGTGGTTAGGAGCGCTCCCTCCTCTTTCAGAGGCCCTCAGCTTGCTCTCAGCATCCTGGTGGGGGTGGTACACAGCTGCATGTATAATGCTGGCTGCAGATGCTATGGCTTTTCTGGCTTTGAGGGGACCAGCACTAGCAAGTGCACATACACTGGCATGTAATTTAAAAATAATTCAAAATTACACTTTGTGTGTGTGTGTGTGTGTGTGTGTGTGTGTGTGTGTGTGTGTTTGCACCATAGTGCCTGCGTGGAAGTCAGAGGACAGCCTAAAGGACTCCGTTCTCTCCTATCTTGTAGACTTCCATGAGCTTGTGTGGGAACACCTTACTCATGGAGTCCTCTCACTGACCCTGTCCCTGTGTTCTTTACTGGGGCACTTTCAGGAAATAGTGGGGGGAGTGAAGTGGCAGATGGTGGTGTGTTTTTCTCTCATTATTTCACAGTATATTTTGCAGGGGTGCCTTTTTGCTGTTTTTCACATGCCTTTTCACCCATTAGCTTGTCTACTTCTGTGTGTTTACTCAGTACTTGACCCATCAACTCTCTTCATCACGTGATTTTTTATAAGACCTGGAGCCTCCTTAAATTGTAATATCCAATAGATAAGAGAACTCATGGCTCCCACTCACCAAGTTCCAAACACCTTGTCTTTTCAACTCTTTTCTCAACTTCAGACAGATTCTGCTCACAAATCTCTCTCAAAGCCTCAGGAAACTGGAGATTCCTATGATTGTAGTACGATTTTCTGTTGCTCTCCATTTATGAGTTGTTGTTGAATTTTTCACTGGAGAGTACTGCAAATTCATACCACCAGCAGACACTGTCCCCAAGCCTGGAGGGGAGACGGAACCAAAGTTTGCTTAGACTGTTTGACATGTGCCATCTGCTCCTGGCTGTCTTCTCTTAGCCTTGGCTCCACAGTTTTGAATAAGGAGGCTCACTGTTTTCTTAACTCAAGCTTTTACTATGCTGACTGATTTTTACATAAATGAAAGCAGATTTGACAGAAGCCCCTTTTTAGTTCTTTAGTGAAATATCAGGGAGAAAACACTTGTAATGAGCATGCACTTGCCCCTAAGGGAATTAGATTATGCCATTCATGACCACAGGTTAATTGCTTACTCACAGTCAGACAAATATGTGAGACAGACTAGAAAACCCAAATACACATAAGATTTTATAACTCAAGACTGAGGATATATCCTATTCAGTAGGAAAAAGGATTTTGAAGAAGGAAATGGCTTTTAAACTGTTCCTAGAAAAGTTACCTTTACATTTTTTACATCATGAAATCTGTTCTGGATGGAATTTTTGATGATATAAAAGTGAGAAATGTCTTAGAAGAAAAAATGCTTTTAGAAATTATGTTTTTGGTTTCTCTGTGTGTGTGTGTGTGTGTTTCTCTTTCTGTATATGCATCTGTGTGTGTGTGTCTGTATGTGTGTGTCTGTGTGTGTGTGTGTGTGTGTGTATGTGTCTCTGTGTGTGAGTGTGTCTGTGTGTCTGGTCTCTCTCTCTCTGTATATGTGTCTGTGTCTGTGTGTGTGTGTCTGGTGTGTGTCTGTGTCTGTGTGTCTGTGTATGTCTGTGTGTGAGAGTGTGCCTGTGTGTCTGTCTATGTGTGTATGTGTCTGGGTGTCTCTGTGTGTGTGTGTCTGTGTGTGTGTGTGTCTGTGTGTGTGTGTGTGTGTGACATGTATGCAGGTGCAGGTGCTTGTGGAAGGTGTGAGGTCCCATGGAGTTGGAGCTCCAAGTGGCTGTAAGCTGCCTTTTGTGAGCTCTGAGCCACCACTCCAGCCCCCCCAAAAAAGAAATTTTTAATCATACAGTTTTTATTTTCAAATACTTTCCTGAGAATAACCTCAAAAGAACTTCTGAACTTTTTTTTACATTGTGGTAATATTATCTAATTTGTTCAGATAATCTGTCACAGTGAAATTGAACAAATCAAAACAATAAAAACTGAAAGAGCCGGGCGATGGTGGTGCACGCCTTTAATCCCAGCACTCGGGAGGCAGAGGCAGGCGGATCTCTGTGAGTGACAGCCTCCAAAACAATACAGAGAAACCCTGTCTCGTAAAACCAAAAAAAAAAAAAAAACTGAAAGAATGTTGGGAATTGCAACCTAGAAATCTATTCTGAAAGATAAAGTAAGCAAATAAGCTCTTAAAATTATTGTGCAGAAGTAACAGTTATTTACTAATTTTTTGGTATATATTTATTTTTGTTTTTAAACCCTGACTGCAGTTTCCTTTTCCTTGTCACCTCCCCATTCCACCCCTCCTCATCCATTCCTTCTCTGTTTTTCTTCAGAAAAGGGCAGAGGAGGAGATCAGCCAGCCATGGTACATCAAGCTGCAAGGAAACTAAGCATCTCTCCCTCTTCATTTAGGGCTGGATGAAGTGACCCAGTATGAGGAGTGGGATCCCAAAAGCAGGTAACAGAGTCAGAGACAGCCCCTGCTCCCACTGTTAGAAGTCCCACAACAAGACCAAGCTACACAGCTGCAGCATGTGCAGAGGGCCTAGGTCAGTCCTGTGCGTGCTCCTTGTTGTTGGTCCAGTCTCTGTGAGCCCCTATGAGTCCAGGTTAGTTGATGCTGTGGGTTTTCTTGTGGTGTTCTTGGTCCCTCTGGCTCCTGCAATCCTTCCTCCCCTTCTTTCACAGGATTAACTGAGCTCCATCCAATGTTTGTCTGTGGGTCTCTGATCTGCCCCCATCAGTTGTTAGATGTAGCCTCTCTGATGATAATTGAGCTAGGCATCAATCTATGAGTATGGCAGAATGTCAATAGAAAACATTTCATTGATTCTTTTTTGGTTCTATCCTTGGTATCTGCCTGTAGGTCCTATTGCTCCAGGCAGTATCAGGGGTGAGCTCTGTCTCATGGTATGGGTCTCAAGCTGGACCAGTCATTGGTTGGCCACTACCACAATTTCTGGGCCATCTTTAGTCCAACACATTATGTAGGTAGGACAGATTGTAGGTTAAAGGTTTTGTGACTGGGCTGCCTCAAAAGAACATCTAGATAATTTTGGTTGTCGTTATTATCATTGTTATTTAGGTGCTGGGGTTTGAACCCAGAACCTTGTGCCTGCTAAGAACATATTCTGCCCTGAACTCCACCACCAGGCTAAATGCAATCATTGTGAAGTCCAGTTTCTTGAAATGAAGATCAATCCTTCCTCTATAGCAGAAAACATGTTGACAAAAGAACGCCAACTCTCAGAATAGTCACAACATGTTCCTCTCAGTTGAAAAACATATCTTTATTCTACAGAAAATTCTTTTATATCAATAAGGGAAATGGTGGGCTCTGTTTACTCATCTGTGTTAGGAATTAACCCAGGGCCACAGCCCTCCCATTCCCTCAGAAGGTATGTGCAACAATCCTTGCCGAAAAGGTTGCTCATCAAAACATGGAGCACAGGCAAGGCACCACTGCGGCCCACTGTGCCACGTAGAATGAAAACCTCAGTGGTGGCCATGAGCCTTCCACACCGTGCAAACACAGAAGGACAAAGCACAGATGACAGAAACTTATTTCCAAGACACCTGATGTGCATTCGTATCAGTAGTGATGATTTCTAGTAGACCCCCGAGGAAGCAGCACAGTGTAACTGTGGCGATCAGAGGGAGGGACAGTGCACAGTAGTGTATTGTCGTTTTATTTGGCCAGAAACAAGTCCGTAGGTAAGAGCTCAAACTCTGCCTCAACTCTACAGTTTTGCTCCAGATTTTTATACAGTAGAATTGAGTTGCATCTTGAAATTCCTAGTCCCTGTTCTGCCCCAAAGTCAGGGAAATTAGAGTTCTTAGAAGCAAAGGTGTCTTATTTCTCCTGGCCATTTCCCTGGATGATAAGGAGACTAAG